CAAAATTGAAGCCGCAAAGAGGTATCCTAGCAGTACAGTGGTTCACGTGTTTTGGGATTCTTGAAGGAACCTAGGACGTCAGGCTTAGATGCACAATTTTACCGGAAGGTTTTGTAGGGCTTCTTATGTTGAAGCAAGAAGGTGGCCAAAATCCTGCATTTGGGGATGCATGCGTGCAATGAGTAATGAGCGGCACAGCATGCATACGATGAGAAAGGGCTCTTTTCAAGGGTCCTATACCCAAATGCATTCACAGTGTCAGTGCTTCGGTCGAGTGTTAGGCTCCAATATGTCCGGCTCCAAAGCTCTCTCAACGTCGCAAGTAAGTCCACCCAGTATCTCCTATCATGCTTATGCTCAAGCCCAATCATAATGCCCGTATCCCATGGACAAAGCCAAGCATCTAAACAGGGGATAATATATAGGGGCGTAGAGATTAGAATAAGGTCCTGGGGTATGTCATGGTATAAGACTATAAGTTTTTCTGACGCTTTAAAGGCAGGGTCTATGACTATGGTCGGATATTGTGTTTGAGTGTTTAAGGCTGTAGGAGTCTAGGCCAAGGTTGCAGTGCTGAGGAGTTTAGGCCTAGAGGGTCCACAAAGCCTCCTATCTAAACTCCCCACCCTATAAACCCTAAACCCTAAACTCTCCGACGAGGTCTTGTCGCTCCGACCCGGGAAGATAACCTACTTGGCTGCCAGCAGAGCGCCGGATTCGTGCTTGTCGGCTCTTGAAGATTTTTTAAAAGCGATTGTGCAGGATTTTGGCCTGAGCTCTTAAGATTAAGAGACCTAGGCAGATAAGAAGAAGACATTTCAATGTAGGATTTAGAGTTTGGGCTTTCAGGGCTTCGGGACTTAGGGTATCAGGCTACAGTGTTCGGCCAAACTCCTCAATCATCTTGCTCAAGCCATAACAAGAAGCCCTACACTAACTTGCTTAGATCGAAAAATGTTCCTTAAGCCATTCCTTCTCGAGTCTACATTGCATGTTCACGGAATATTCCTTCATTCATTTGGGTGGTTGTCAGTACTAGGATCCCTTTTGGGGGTCCTTATTATCATACGGCACCTAATATTTAGGGTACCCCAAAAGGGACCATAATTTTGACAACCATCTATTTCAGTGCCTGTACACTTGCAGTAGAAGCCAGAAAGTTGGAATATCATTATCATACTCCCTTCAAGGTAAATTATAGGGGAGCCTGCCATTATTGCATATTCCAACTTTCTGGAGTTCCTCTTACTCTTTCTTCGGCCAGTACTCTGCTGCCCCGCCAGACACAGGTTACGCGACGCGAGAAAGCGCTGATACCTTTCTTCAGCTCTGGCGATCGGTGGTTCATATAATTCCGAGCTCATTACGCCTGGAGCCCTAAACGCTAGGGTTTAGGGTTTAGGGTTTAGGGGTTTAGGGTGTAGGGTTTACCCCAAACCCTAAACCTCTATGCCCTGCGACATCGGGCTAAGAGGGCTTGAAGAGCCTTGAAGGTGGAACACACGACTTGCCGTGCTCTGGAAGGTCAACGGAAGCAGTAATGTAAGTTCTACTTGTGCTCGTACATGGGGCTGTACACCAGGTTTAAGAACTATAGGGTTTAGGGAGCCCACGCCACTCCTTTACGAAGCTACAATCTGTGTGGGAATCGGTCTACACCGAAGTCACATCGCGAAAGCCCACCCCAACCACCACAAAACTCAAACTCCCTGCACCTTGCAGGCAAAGTCCAGTCTGGAGCTCTGAGTCGTACCCCCCTAAACCGGCAATCCCTGATCCCTCTTTACTAGGTATCGATCCCGACAACCACCCCAAATTTGTTAAAATTAGGGCTCTATATCGAAGAAAGGAAACTCAAACTATCCCAAATCGAGACCTGGGTTTAGGGTTCAGGGATTTAGGATTCGTATGGTTTGGGGGCAAGCACCCTGAACCACACGACTTTTTTTGTCACAGTAGACCATCTTGAACAAAAACCTACGAGCCCCTTCTTCATGTTACGTGCTCTGGACCCCTATGAATCCTAAATCCAAATTCCTTCAGACCTTTCGTAAGGGAGCCATAAATCCTAAATCCTACTCTGTTAGAACTTTCTCGCAAGAGTTTTGACGAACTTGTCGCTGCCTTTCGGTGCGGACGGCCGCGACCGAATCTGCGAGGTGGCCCCTACCCACTCCCTTTGGATCTACCATGGCAGTGGTTCTCAGGTATCAAATTCCCAAAGGGTCCTATGCACTGTTATGGGGGATACTTCCCTAAGTCATAATACTAATTCCTAGTATGGAAACCCTACATTCTACTATATCGGTACATAGGACCGTTTGGGATTGACTCTAAGGTTTAAGGTTTAGGGGGGCCCTGGTCTTCAAGAGAGTTCTGAGCAATATACATACGTTAAGTTAAGGATGTGTATAGAGCGTTCTGTGTTCAGATAAGCATTGGATTGGTTTCTTGCAGCGCTTGATTGCCGTTTTGTCTATATAAGACGGTTTTTGGGCTTTCCAAGAAGCTCCAACATTGTGTTTCAATGCATGATTCATTGTGGATTAAAGCTCGGCTTCAGGGTGTGTTACTAGACTTGGTACGTGCGCGATCCGGGCGTTGGCGCGCACTATAGGGCTTAAGACTAGAGGTTCGAGGCACAGGAATGTAGATCACGCGCGCGCACGAACGCACACACACACAGACACACACACACACACACACAAACACACACACACACACACACACACACTCACACACACACACACACACACACATGCACACGCATGTGCTGCGGAAATGCGCCCCGTGATGTAGAAACTCATCATATACATGCATGGAATGACACACTGTAAGCCCCAGACTCAAAGACCCGGGCAGAGGAACTTGAAAGGCTCTGGGGACTCTTGGCTGTGGGATTTAGGGTTTAGAAGCTTCTAGGGTTTAGGGTGGTGTCTATTGCCTAGACCTCCCAACCACCCTCTAATACACCCTAAATACCCACTATTAAGGACCATAAGGGCTCCATTAAAGGGCCATTGGGGGCCAATTGGGGGTGATGGTATAGGAAAGTAGAGGGTTACTGGGTTCTCAGCTGCAGGGTTTATGTTTTCATGTCGAACATGTGTTGAAGACATTCGCCGCGAGTCGGCCTAGGCAACCTCGCGCATCCATGCATACTTTAAAACAGTTCTAGCACCGGCCAGATCTAGCTCATGGTTTTGGTTTTGGAATTACCTAAACCTTAATCATGATTTCATGATTTCGGAATAATTCTAAACCCTAAACCGTGCTCGGGATCTTGGATAGATCCTATTGAGGCTGGTCTGGTGGCGCAGGGGTTTAGGGATGAGGATGGGGCTTTCCGAACCAGGCATCATTTCATGTAGGTCGATATCTTGACAAAAACCCTAAAGCCTAAACCTGCAGTACATGCCCAAAAGTTGGAAATAGCCTCAGCCCTCAAGAATAGTAAATAGGGAATCCCAGCATTAATTGGCCATACTCCGGTTTCCAACTTTGGGGGGTTTACTTTAAACCTAACCAAAGGGCTCAGACTCTTAGCATTCCTGTGTTGGGGGGCTTTCCGGCCCCAGAGCTGTACTTTGCAGGGACCCAGGACTCCTTTCAGCCTTACTTTAGAGAAGTGTGCGCCATCTCAGTCCTTGTACCTAAACCCGAAGCCTCATGACGTAGGCCCTATAGACTTAAGTGGGCCAGTGTTCAACATCTACATTCTTATTCCTTTTTGGGTTTAAGTACCCATAGAAATGTAAAATGCTCCCCAACTATGACAAAGTTAACACCAGTGATCCTACATTGATTCCATTCCGACGGCCGGTCGGTGTCATACGGATGACAGGGTCGGCGAATCGCAATGGACAAAGTAGGCTTAGGTCATTCTCCCTCAAGGGTTCCTTGAAGGCTTACGCAAACAAACATGGACGGGGTTTAGGGCTCCGGGCTTTTGAGGGACATGAGTGCTCTTGGACTCAGCAGAGCAACCAAAAGACTCCACAAAGCCCTGAATTGTGAATCAGCTCGTAAATCAAGCAAAGGATCCTGTCCTCTGTACTCTAAGATGTATGGGAGTTCCCGACAATCGGGGTACCTCAGTTTGGGCTCCTGAGGATTAGGATCCTACTATTTTAGGGTATTTTTTTAGGTACCCTATGTTCGGAAACTCCCTTTTTGCTAGATTAAGGGGTCGTGGACTCATGTTGCTCTTCCAAGGCTAGATCCTATACCCTAAACCCCTTGACAGGTAGAGATCCTCCTCTGCAGCGCAACTTCGTCCGCAGCTCTAAACCCGCAAACCCCTCCCCCACCCTGAAGTCAAACTTCCTTCGGGGGCGATAGGTAATATAGGGGGCCTTAATAATTAACTTTATGAGGAACCTAGGACTACGAAAAGGGAATAAGGGTACGTGAGTCCATTGCTTCCGATTCGGCGTCCTCATGCCGTAGCCTATGTACACACGCCTGGGTGTTGCACCTGGCAGGCAGCCAGGAAGCACTGTCACCCAAAAGCAAAACACAAAAACTCGCAGCAGTGAAGCCTGAAACCAAAATCACCGACTTGCCACCTGAAGCCCCAAGACCTACAGACCACAAGCCCTCAAGGATCGAGTTTGAGAAAGGTTATGGTGCTAATAGGTGTGCAAGCTCTGCGTGCAAAACCTACCAAGCCCTAACAGAGGCCCTGTTGCCCTTCGCATGTGGTTGCTGCAATGACGTGTTATAGTTGCGCAGGGTCGAGGCACCGCCTATGAAACTTTGAACCGAAACGCCAAACTGTAGTTGTACAAAGTACCGAACCCTAACAACACATGCTAACGCTTTCACCAACCCCGGAAGTAATTGCCCCTTACAGCAGCCTTCTTCAGAAACCCTTTCAAAACCTCTAATGGTTTTAAACCCTTAGAAATCCTCGGTAGCCAGATCCAGAGGCTTCCCCAAACCCCACAGCGGAGCTTGGGTTCCCGGCTGATCGCATTAAAAGTTGGCGCAGATTGGGATTAGGCCACCTGGGAACTCGGAATGTACTTTTGGGTTCAGGCTTTCAGCTGGTAGAAGGGCTGAGGGTTTGTAGTGGGATTTGGGGGCTCCTGCAGCTGTTGCGGAGGGTCTGAGTGCCTGGGAGGGAGAGTGAAGTGTGCCGCAAAGATTTAGCACTTGGGTTGTCTAGCGGACTGCGATGATGGGCAAAGCCTTGAACTCTAATCGTGAACCACCCCCGAAACCCCAAACTATACCTTCAACCCCTCAACCCTCAAACCCCACTCCCTGCAATAAAGAATCACCGGCTAGGGGTTTGGCCACTTTTCGTATTCCAAGCAGCTTGGCAAAATCCGCCACTGGGCCCGTTGACATGTGTTCCTTTACAGAACATCTGCCGAAACTTTAAATGAATGAAACACTGCAGACAGCATGCAGCCAAGAGAGAATGCACAACCTCCTTCGAACAATGTAGGGGCCTTAATAATTAGAATGCGGTTTTGGGGGGTTCCCCATGACAATTATAGTATCATATACCCCCAATGCAAACCCTTATATTAAAGGGCGTTGACAAAGAAAGCCTAAACTCCGACCGATTCCTCCGACAGCTGAAGACCTGAGACCTAAACTAAACCCGAAAACCCAAAAGCCTAAGCCCTGGGTTCAGGGTTTGGCGGTTTAGGGCTTAGAGCTTTAGGGGTTTAGGCGTTTAGGGTTCAGGGCTGGGGAGTGAGAGTTTAGTACATGCTGGGTTCTGCACTTCAGGCCTGAGAAGTTTGGGGTGTTCGCAAGGCAAATTATCCTACAATTCGAAGGTCTTACACCTCTTGTCAAGAGGTTTCAACCCTAGGGCTCTCTTCTCGCCCATGCTGAGCATAATTCAACATAAGCCAAAGCGAGCTTCTACTGCCCTTTTACGAGCCCCTCATAAAATCCTTCCAGCACCGAACCCAAAACACTAAACCCCCCAACCATGCACCTGAGCCGCTAAACCCTGTTCTACGGTTGATGATATAAATCCTGCATGACCCATAATAAGGAATATACTATAATTCCCATAGTTTAGGGTCATTAAGGTAATGCAGGATTTATACCATCAACAGTAGTCCTCATACTACAGGACGAGGGACTCGGCCCTTGCCGGTCTTCTGCCGTCGACGGCGTCCAGAGGCCTCCACCACGAGCAGGGAAATAAATACACACATCACGTGGGTGACTGAAGAATTCGGCTCTAATAAGGGTGTCATGTGTGTTTCAGTCCGCTGTGCCTTCAACTCCAAACCCCAACCAGTCCCCAGCCCCTAGGCCCTACTCGACACGAACTACAAAGCCCTGCACAACCCTGGTAAAACCTGAAGCCACCCCCGTTCTCCCACGAAAATGCAATCCTGGCTTCTACGTCGGCACCCCAACCCCGAACCGGTAACCCGGTAAACCATGAACAAAGCACGACGAGATGGCTTGAAACCGGCACTAAAGAGCCCACAGGGTGGCCTCCTCTCCAGAAGGCGCTCCCTTCAGACAGGACCGGGCTCAAACCCTACTCCTCAGGGTGCAAAAGACCCAGCATAGTATGTACTCACGCCTTGAAGCTGTTCTTGTTCATTATTTGAAATAGTATCCGCACAAGGCTTCAAACCCAACCCGCAGGTCCCTGTCCTTGGTTATATCGGACCCATGGTAGTTCCTTTTGGGGGTTTATATCTAGAATCCCATATAGTAGTCCCCGAGAAGAACTACTATGGGGCCTATGGGTAGGCCTTGTAGAGTTTCATGAAGGCTTGTTTCGTGAGGGCTTAGTATACAAGGGCTTATTCTGATACCCAACAATCACAGACGCACCAAAACAGGAACCCCCAAATTCCTACTGGCTTTTTTATGGTTTCGGGTGCTGGGCTTGGAGTTGGGGCCGTTTCCCTAGATCCCAATGAACCCGGGTACACCCGAAACCCTAAATAAACCACATAAACCGCAACTCCAAACACTAAACCCTCCCCCCCCCAAACTCTCAACCCTAGGCTCTACCTATAGCCCCAAAACCTACAAAATACTATAGGTTCTGACATGTTATGACCCTATGATGATAGGGTATAGCCCGTACCATACTGTAAAAGCGGTAGGTACACCCTGAGGCCTAGGTCTCGGGTTTGAGGCTTCAAGTTTTGGGGTTCGGGCTTCGGGAGCTCCGGCGATCGGGTTCTGGGCTGAATACTTTAAGCATCAGTAGGCATTCTTCCGAGAGGCTCATGCCCTACCCCTTTTCAGGATACCTTGTTTTATGGTTAGGATCTGGTATATAGAAAAGTAGATACCCTAAAAAAGTGGCAGGGTATGAGCCTACAGGTATGGGTCTGGGGTTTAGGGATTTGGCTACGGTTTTTATGGCCCTTGACATGGATTCTGTGAGGGACTGGTAGCCCTTTTCCAAGGGTTCTGTAGTTGTAGGGCTTGCTAGGGCTTTAGAGGTTCCACAGGGTATGTACGGTATGTTTTTTAACGGGCGGTTTAAATCTTCTTAGACCCTAAACCCTAAACCCCTAAACCCTAGGCCTAGGCGGTGCTCGGGTTTTGGTTTTTGATTCGAAGACTTGGCTTGCGAGGGAGTTCTTAGAAGACGGGTAGTTCGCGTAATTCAAGCCCTTCTCAGGTCCCCAGAGAGTACGGCACCCTTATAAACAGGTAACTACCCATATGTTTCAATCAAGAATGCCTACACACATGTAACCGTTGTATTTACTGAAATTACTGAAAGCCCCTTCGGGTCATTGAAGAGAAATCTGGACGTGGAAGCCTAACTGCGACTCCAAACCCTACAATACAAAATCATTGGTCAGAATCCCGATGATCATAGAGTCATCGGCTTGGGATTTAACGTGCCTCTCTGCCATCAGCTCAGTCAAAACTCCTAAACGCCGGAAATCCAAGACCTTACTCCCTGCGTTCCCAACTGCTGAGCACGGCGCAGGCCGCAAATCGTCATCGCTAGCTGGCTCCGACCTCGCAATTGCAACTCAAACTCTTCGGCACTATCGACATAGAAGGGATTAGGACATTGAGCAAGGACTTGATGGTTCCGAATGTGTGAGAAGCGTCAGTTCCTAGCGGCTGTGTCGACAGCCTCCTGCTGTTGGTACGTCTTTGCCAAAGGCGACTGCCAAAGGAAGGACATGCCATCCCAGTACTGTTGTACTTTGTGATTTACACTGTCCCGTAAATCTCGAAAGAGTCCTTCTACTTTTGCGAACCAAAACTATGCGACTTCTTGCACCCCCCAAAAACACAAGGGCCCTCCCTGGGAAATGCCCGAGCCTCCCAAGGACTTAGGTTCATTGGGCCTGGGGTTTTACGGCTCAGGGCCTAGGGCCCAGGGATGCAGCAGGACGACCTTTGGAAGTCTCTGATACCAAGGTTGTTGGCTGGAGCGCCCTGTCCAAAAACGTGACAAACACGCCGGCAAACTTCCATGCAGAATCGACACTCATCATCTAAATTCTGAAACCGTGGACATTACACCTGCTGCAGGAACTCCACGTTGAGCCCTGTATTGCCCATGCCCTGGCGAAAACCCGATCACCCAGCATTCAGAGTGCCATGTTGGAATTCTAGATTGCAATCAGTATAGAGCAGGTTTGGAGTTCCCCTCGTTAGGCACAAAACCTCAAAACCTGACCGTAAAACCCTAAAGCCGTGAAGCCTGAAGCCCAAGCCCGCCTAAACTCTTAACCTTTAAAGAAGCCCAATAGAGTCCTTATAGAGCCCTTGTAATGCTACCCTTAAAGGAAGCTGACAACTCCCGAAGCCCTCTGAAGCTTATGCCCTTGAGTATCCGGACACACACCGTCGACCAGATCGATGGCGGGGCGGTCGCGCCTTCTGATACGTGATGTGTTGAGTTTAGGGTTTAGGGTTCCCTCGACTGGAAGCTCGAAGTTCCTTCGCGGCTAGCTGAGTCTAGCTCAACAAAGGTTAACCTTGCAATTATGGTAGAACATGATTCGCCCGTGGACTTTTCGGGTCTAGGGCTTTGGGGTTTCGGGTTTAGGCGTGTTGGTAAATTTAATTACGTGGTTTACGCGTTCTACAAGCGCTTTGAGTTCTTGGGTTTCTAAATAGGAGTAGCCGTATAGGCGTACCCTATTTTGGGGTCCTTATTTAAGGTACTGTATTCGGGTCCCTGTTTTCGGAGACTCCCCTTTTGCAAACCTAGGTAACCTAAAAGCTGCGGCGGACCTCGTCAGAGTCGTGGCTGTCCTTGCAGAGAGAGCATTGGCATAAAGGTCGTTCAGAGTTTGAGACTTTTGGGGCTCGTGGTTGAAAGTTCTTGCGCTCAATATAAGGCTTAGGACATATGATTTAGGCCAGGGTCAAAGACCCTGACTCAGGGTCTGAAGCGCCCGTGTCAGAGAGCCCATGTTATTATTAGTATGGAATTAAGTTCCCGAAATGGCGGTGCGTCTGAACTCTCTTGTGTTTTGCAGTGCAAGCTTTTTCGGAGAGTTCACGGTGTCATTTATAGGTTACCTTGAGCCAAAACGACCTTCGATTCCCGTTAGCATAGACATGCCAAGTCCCACCTCTATGCATGTTTCGCGTAGAGGGCCACAGACCCCTGCAGCCTACCTCTCCCCAAGCCCCAAAACCCTGCACCCTAAACACAAATGTCGAAGCCTCGAACACCGAACCCCTACATATCATACAGCATGACCCTCAAGCTGATCCCAACAAGAGGTGCAGGACACCTGCAAACACGAAGATTGAAGCCTGAAGCCCTGATCCCACCACACCCACACCCTCTCTTCTGCGAATCTTTCCCTACAGGCTTAGGCTTTAGGGACACCTTCAGCTCTCGACCCTCAACCCCAACACCCTACGACGGTAGGTCGCCTTCTTTTCCCCCGGGGATCCGAGAAAGGATACCAGCAGATGTATAGTACTACTATAAACGTTTACTCATGGCCCATGGCGTAAGATACCTCGGACCTGTTCAAATTACCTAATACCATTTCCTCGACCCCAACGGTATGTAGCATAATCGCCGTTTGTAGGTGTTGGGCCAACATCTTAAGGCTCCTATAGCCCTTATACACCCTCAACCCTATAGGCCCCAAAACCCTAAGCCCTAAACCGGGCCTATACTACACGAGCGTCCTTGGCCGCAGCCGCCTTCGCCGCCCGCTTCGCGGCGCGCTTGGCGCGTCTTGGCGCATCCTCCACAGGCGCCTGCATGGCCCGGAGAGGGTTTATATAGGGGCTTTAGGGTTTAGGGTTTAGGGGCTTAGGGTCGGCGGGATTAAGGATGCCTCATTTTGGGACTCCTGTTTCGGATCACCCCACCTACCATACACCTTATAACTTTAACCCCTTACCCATGGGCTCCATAGTAGTTCCTTTTTGGGATTGTCTTTTAGGCTCCTAAATATGAGCCACAAAAAGGGACTGCAATGTAGCCTTTAGATAACCCTCAAATTCCATCTTGGCCTGAGGCACCTCGGGCGCTTGACGGTCCTCCGACCTGCGACAGAAGGCGGCATGACTGACTTAGGGTTTAGGATTAGGGTTTAGGGTTTAGGGTCAAACATTCGGCGTGGCCCAGGGTTCTAAATTCAAGATCTTGGCATTCTTGGTTTGTAGACGGTACTTGAGCTTGAAGGCTTAGCATTTGCTAGGGTTGGGGCGTAGAGGCTACAGGGAGGTTCAGGGACAAGGGCTATAGGCTGTGACATACCCCAAAGCCGACGAATCCACAACTTTAAACCCCAATACTCAAACCTAAGCCCGAGCTCTTAAAGACAAAGAAGCTCCTATGCCCCAAACCATACCTACTTCTAAAGCCTCAATGCCTCACTTCACATGATATACTTTTGGGGGATACCCAGTGTTGCTAAGTGAAGCTTCCCTGTTTGTAAGTAATGCACAGCCAACAACAACATTCATAAAAAGGCGTGCTTTGCAGGGAACAAAGCCTTAAAGCATTGCTTACAGTACTGGTACAGGTTCGGGGAACATACAAGCCAAGCAGAGAGGTACTATTGTGCTAGGCATATGTCGCTCTGAGTGTCGTTACCTCGGCAATAACTGGGTCAGAAGTTGCGGTTATACTTAGTCGCATATAAGTCTCTGGAGCCGTCTCTGGAGCCACCAAGTGTCCGAATCGAGAACAACTCAAGGTCCAAGTAACATGATGGAGCCGCCAGCAGTAAAGCAGCAAAGCCAAACCGGGTTGTGGGAAGGGCTTTGTACTATACAACGAACCCTTCTTATAAGATATGGTATTGCTATTTATGTTCAGAGCTACTAGAACCTGCAACGCTTCTCGCCACCTCCTCCGACCCTTCCGCCCCTTCCGAGGCCGTAGGCCATCGCTATCTTCCTCCTTCAGGGCTCAGTGCTTTGTGAAGGTGCCCTTAAAAGGGTTTGAAAGCCAACTTCGGGGATTTCACTTAGTGCTGTTGCGGTTCAGGGTTCGGGATACAGGCTCAGCTTCAGAGTCTAGGAGAAAGAATATGCCGGGTTCAGGGTGCGGGATTTAAATTAGGAAGAAGCAGCATCGCGCCAAGGGCTCCCTCCAGTTAAAAGCAGATCGATTCGTAGATGGTAGGCCGAAGTACGTGTGAGTTTGTAACTCAGGGGTCTGAAGACGACGACATCGATCTTTGAATCGGGTTGGAGTTCCTGAAGCCATGAACCCTAAAGCCTTATCGAGGCTTAAAGCAGTAGTTACTGGCTTTGTCCTGTACATGTAGTTTCCATTGCCTTTCTGGCGTAACCAAGCCTATGCTTAAATTAAAACCCTACAAAGTGACCACAAAAGGAACTACAAGGGAGACTACGGGTAATGCTGGGCAATGTTCCCATATAGGTCTCGCTGTAGAGCCTCGCAGTCAAGAAAGCTCAGAAGGAGCTCTAGGCTCGTAGGTTGTCTTACAGAGCCCCAACTCAACTTTCAAGGGTTACCTGGATCCAGAATAAACTACCTTTTTAGGGCTCCCTAGTCTGATTTCTTTAAAAAAGTCCTATAAAGGTAGGTTATTTGGGAGTCATTGTACACCATATCACGTATAGTGTACATCCTGAAGACCCTGATTGCGTCACAGTCACAGGAACGATGCTGCTCAGATTCGGGAGTGCTGGAGTGTGACTCATGAAAATCCTAAATCCCTAAACCCCATAAACCCCATAAGCCCTACACCCACAAACCCTAAACCCCATAAACTCCATAAGCCCCATAAACCCTAAACTCCCCAGCCCCAAACCCCTAAACCCTATACACCCTAAACCCCTATAAGCACTGAGCGGAAGCTCTCAGAGACCTTCACGCGCATGCGCTCCTCCCGAGCCCCCGGGGTCACAGCGAGGCTCCTCCTGGCCTCTGCGCGCGGTTTCTAGGGTTTAAGGGTTTGGGGTCTATAGGGTTCATGGGGGCTTGAAGTTTACAGGGTTTAAGGGTTTAGGGGTTTAGGGTTTATAGGGTTTACGGCTTATCGCGTTTAGGGGTCAAGAAAGAACCCAATAGCACATCAAAAACAACAACTAACAGTAACAATAACGATAGTAGGAATAACAGAAATATTCCTGATAGCAATACCATCAACGCTAAGAGTAAGAACAGCAGAAATGGATAACAATACCAGCAAGTGCCTTTCTTTATTTGGAAGCCCCGTACCAGTAACAACTATAGGCTTGGGGAGGTTCCGCACAAAAGGAAACCTAAACTCTGAACCATCCCCCTGAGGGTTCTATTTTGGGGCTTTGATATCACAGACCCAAAAAACTAAACTCTCGCTATGGCGACTGAAACAGGGCTTTGGACTGCAACCCTGACAATGTGCTCACCGACGCTGCATGTTATGGAGATTTGCGTTGCACTTGCTATTGCTACTGTACATAGCTGTGTTGCTATATCAGTACATATTCTTCCCGCCTCCCGGCGTTGTCGCCGCTTCTCTCGTCTGTTGCCGGCCGCGAAATCCTCGTCCAAGTCAAAAGCAAGCTCAGCTTCATGAACCAATCTTCATGCCTTCAAACAGCTACCTGTCTATCGATCTATCAATCTAGCACGGTGTCCTTATCGTCCTTCCCGCCCGTATCCTCACCCCAACCATCGAGGGAATTGGTACTTCGTGAAAAGCGCGGTGCATCAGTCCTTAATCAATAATAATCCATGCTGCCCCACTCTCATGTGCTTCACCTATCATACCAACCACGGTCCCTAAGGCCCTAGACTGCTGGTGCTCAAGATGCAACTACAACACTTTGGGGTGCTGTCTCGGGGGGATTGCGGTTGTTCGCAGGGCGCTGCTTGATAAGCATGAGCCCAAGAAAGCCTAGTATTGTGGGGGTCTGACAATGCTTCCCTAAGCCGACATCCAGGACCCCAATCTTCCCCCTCAACCCCGAACTCTACTTCCCTGGAAAGTCAGCCGAAGAAGGTATCTCTCAAAGTCCAACGGTTGCTTGGGGTTTTGGGGTCTGTGGGTCCGATTGCCGTAAGGATCCTTGTGCCCAGATAGTATATACTTTCGCCCTAAAGTAGCATATGTACGGACTACTGCAAGGCCAAAGTATGTACGATTTGGTATAGGCACTTTCAAGCCAAAGTATAGTTGGGTACATGGGCCCTGGGGAAGCCGACAGTCTAGAAACCAGATATGGCCTGGTCCGTGGGTTCAACATTCAGGGCTTGCGGGGAATTTGGGGGCACACCTAAACAGCAGAAGCAAACATCGTTGCATACATGGTGGACAACGGCAAGTTGGCATATCATCTGAAAGAGATGGGAGCTTGTTCAGGCGATTTACGGCTCTTGGAAAACGTGCCGGCATCACCTCTTGCCGTGACCTCATGGGAGCCTTGCTGGAGACGTTGAAACACATGTGGGTGGTTGTCAAAATTAGGATCCCTTATTGGGTCCTTGTAAAATCCTACTGCTATTAGGGTACTATATAAGGGTCCCCTATTTCGGGAAACTCCCACATGTAGACATCAGCATAATAAGCCCCTACCCTACCGACCATAAGAGCTGCAGAAGGGATCCTCCTGTGCTGGTCCTTACAGTACGGAGGTTTGTGAGTCAGGTGTCTATACAATACAAAGCCTTTAGCAGCGCGGTTTCGGCATTGGCGTTTCAAGAGCCTGCATGTTCCCTCACTTCTCTACCTTTTATAGTCGTGTAGGGGTGGTTCCCAGAAGAGGATCTCTGGCTTGCTGCTGAGGCTCGGTGAGTTTAAGGGGGTTAGGGGCCTCCAGTGTTTTTAGATTCGGACCTCGTCACAAAGAGGCAGTGTAGGAGCCGAAGCGTTGCGATATAAGCATATATCAGACAAAGCTCGAAGCACTCTGCTGCGAGCGTGTGATGTGTGAAGTCAACCTCAGCGGTGTACTCGCCATAGATTGCTATAGAGGGTTGATACGGGGGGTATCACGGCTCCTATGACGAATCCGCTATTTTCCGAGACTAATACTAGGGCTCGAGGGGTTCATTGTACTTACTGGCAGCCTTCATCCAGCCTAAGCCGAACTATGTCAAGATCCCCCCCAACGAAACGAAAACTTGCACCTTCAAACCCCTCAACCAAAAATGAAAAACGGAAGCCCGAGACTTCGTCAGGGCTCGCGGCACCCGAAGGCCACCACCCAAAAAAGCTCTCTTGAGGGTCTAGCCTTTACCTGAAGGCTGATGGGACGTAGTGCCGAATCCCAAACGCGAATCCCTGGACCCTTACACCGCCAACCCGGAACCCTCAGCCTCTAAACCCCCCCCAAACCTAAATCCCTAAACACCTGAACTCGTAAACCCCTCAACCCTCAGCTGCTAAAACCCTAACCCCTGAGCCCCTGCCCTAAACCCTCTAAACCGATGTTCCATGACGATGAGGCTGAGAGCAGGACTTCGTCTTCAGACAGAAACCTCGCTGGAGCGGACGGAGGGATCCGGGGCTTTGTTGCCAAGATCTTGAAAGAGTCGAAACCCTAAACCCTAAACTCTACAAGCCCTAAACCCTAAACTCTATAAACCCTAAACCCTAAACTCTAAACCCTAAACCCTAAGCTTTGACTTTAGCAGATTTAGGGTTTTGGGGGTTGAGAGTGTGGGCATTTCGGGCTCTGAGCGCCCTCTAACGGGCACAATGGACCCCAACTCCTAAACCCTGAAACCTCAAACCCTAACCTATCCTAACCTTTATGAAACCCTGAACACCTGAACCTCAAAGCCTAAACCCTAATCTTTGTAACCCCCTGTACCAACCCTCAACCCGAAATTCCTGATCTCGGCAGAGCCCTGGCTGGGGCTCCAGGCCGCGCCGCTGCGCTCAGCGGGTCCTCAAGGTTATCTTGTTGCCCTTTCAGAGGGGTTCTATAGGGTTTAGGGTTTATGGGTCTATACCCTACGTACCCACATAGGAGTAAGGTGTCTACAGTATAGGATTTTTTCTTGGTTTCGGTAAGTATTCTCCATACATGCATTTCGGACCCTGGGGATAGGAGGTTCTAGAAGGACTCCATAAGGGTTTGTGAAGGCTCGAAAATTTGTTCTAGCTTGAAGACTGTGCGCATGATGGCGATAATGATGTTGATGATGAAAGGGCTTCGAGAAGGGGTCTGTCGGGCGTAGGGCTTCAGGTTTTAGGATTTTTTGTTTCCTTGCAGCTGCATTTATCCAAGGAACCCTCATTTGGGGGAAGACTTTTGACCGCCACGCCGCTGCGCAACAACTGGAAGTGTCTCTCCCATCAGTCTAAACCCTCCTTGCTTGTGGTTTTGGGTTCCCATCAAACGGACCAAAGGCCCGAACAAGGACCCCGAAGAGCCCAGATTTCGAATAATTAGGGTTCAAGTTTTCTACGCTACCTGGACCCTAAAAGTATGTAGAATAATGGCCTTTATAAGTTTTGGGCCATTATTTAACCTACTTTGGGGGGTCCAGGTAAGGTCTGGAATTTATGTAGGGTTAAAGGCGCAGCAAGTCGGCTACGTAGGTGATTGGTCTCTGCTGCGCAACCTCAGCGTCGGAAACTCGAGCCTATTCTGGGTTCTTGGTCGGGGACATAGTGCAAAGTACCATAGTAGGAATTTGTCGCACAGAATAAGGTAACTTCACGTATACTACAATTAAGCTTTTCTAGCAACAACCAAGCTTTGTGCTCAGAGACGCAAGTCTGCGGCAGTACCTGACGATTCTGCATCTTGCCGCGCAAGAAGGTTCCTAAGCTCCTCGCTCGGTAAACATGGCTTCGGTAGCCATATAATCCCTTGCCCCTAATATCAAAGCGCTCCCCCCCACCCCCCCAAATATAAAAACTGCTTTCCGGGATTTTGTTTTAGTATAAGGGGGGTTTCGGTGCATCCGGGTGTGACTCGGGATGACAGTAATTCCTCAGTGCAGTCAGACCAATCAACAGCGACCAATTCCTGCGCAGCCATAAAGCCCTAAGCCCTCAACCCTAAACCCTAAACCCTAAACCCTAAACCCTAAACCCTAAACCCTAAACCTTAAGCCCTAAACCTTGAGCCCTAAGCCCTGATTGTACAGTTCTTTAGCGCTGCGTCTGACTTAGACTCTTCAGCACCGAAAGTCCGAAAGTCCCTAAGCCCTAAAGCCTAAGTCCTAAAGTCCCTAAAGCTTTAGCCCTGAGCCCTAAAACCTTAGGCCCTGAAGCTCTGGTCTCTTCGGTCTGATTAGTACTGCTGTAGTCCTTGGCTCTATGAAAACAAGTAGAATCCTATAGGCCCCCCTAATGTTTCCAATTAACTTTCAATTGTGGGCCCGAAACCGCGAAATCCTGGGGGCGAGTTGTTTTTGTTTAAGGGGGCGTTTTAATGTCAGGGGGAAGGGACTAGGGTTTACGGTTTTTCAGTCGATCAGTATTTCAGGCTTCAGTAACCCTAAGGGTCCACGTACCCATGCAGTGTATCATATACTCCATATACTTCGGCCCTATTTTAGTACGGACCCCCTTGCGGCCAAAGCATATATATATATATGTATTAGTATATATTATATTATACTGTATTATATTATTATGTTAGAGTATAATATATTATATTCTGTTATATTATTATCTTATGTTATAGTATATTACTATATATCATATTATATTTATATATACACGACATGGGTACATGGGCCCCAAGAGCAGATCATGGCCTCAGTAGGTATGCAGCTCGGCGAAGCCAGGGATGCTTTGCAAACTTGTGAGGGTTTAGGGTTTAGGGTTTTTTTGTGGTGTAGGCTTTCGTGTTCTATTGCAAAAGCTGACGGGGAACCTGAGGGAGTATGGCTCCCGACGTTGCCAGATAGCGGGCGGAGTGGGGTGGGCATCTGTTTTGCTTGACCTTTGGACTTTGCACACATTGCAAGTTGGCAGGGCCTTGTCGGCATTTCGCTGCCGTGTCTTGGCAGCAAATCTTTGCCTTGCTGCTGCGGTGAGGCACTGCAATTTTCAAAAACCACCTGTAAACTCAACGACTTGCAGTAGACACAGGTCTACGCCCACCGATTCGTCTTTAGCAGATCAAAACTACTGTTGCCATTAAAGCCAGCAAGACCCCAGGTCACGGCGGATCCATCTGCAAGAATAGCAGCAAAGGCACGGCGACAGGCTTGGATCCGTAGCACATTCCTCAGTTCACCCTGCACGGCGCTGCTGTCCCCACCAAGCTCAGCATTACCCCAAGTGACAACGGATCCATCCCCAAGAATGGCGGCAAAAGCGCCGCGAGAGGCTTGGATCTGCCGGACGTTCTTGAGCTGGCCCTGCACGGCGCTACTGTCGCCACCAGAACCAGCATGACCCCACGTTACCACCGATCCGTCGCTGAGAATGGCAGCAAACGCCGAGTCAGAGGCTTGGAGTTGCTTTGCATGCTTCAACTCGCCTTGCACGGCCGCACTGTCACCACCAAGCATAGGCTGACCCCAGGAGACAACAGATCCATCACCGAAGATAGCAGCAAAAGCCCCTGCAGAAGATTGGATCTGGTGGACGTTCTTCAGCTGGCCCTGCACGGCACTACTGTCGGCGCCGTACCTAGCATCACCCCAGGTCACCACGGATCCGTCGACAAGAATGGCAGCAAAAGCGCGAAGAGAAGCTTGGATCTGCTGCACATTCTTCAGCTGATCCTGAACAGCACTACTGTCGCCACCTTTGTCCGCATGACCCCAAGTCACAACAGAACCATCGCCAAGAATGGCAGCAAAAGCTCCGCCGGCGGCAGCGTGGATTTGCTGCACGTTCTTCAGCTGGCCCCGCACGGCGCTGCTGTCACCGCCACAGGTGGCATCACCCCACGTCACAACAGATCCATCTCCGAGAATGGCAGCAAAAGCACCGTTAGAGGCTCGGATTTGCTGCACATGCTTCAGCTGACCCTGCACAGCGCTACTGTCCCCACCACAGCCAACAAAACCCCAAGTCACAACGGATCCATCCCTGCGAATGGCAGCAAATGCAGACGAAGAGGCTTGGATGTGCTGCACAGTCTTCAGCTGACCCTGAACAGCCCTACTGTCGCCGCCAACAGTAGCGCCACCCCATGTCAGAACGGATCCATCATCAAGAATGACAGCAAAAGAACGATCAGTGGACTGAATCTCAATTGAATTTACACTCAATGTAAGCGTGTCACGGTTCTGGATCCGAGAATCCGAGATGTTCCTGCATCCGTCCAGAATGACTCCGAAAGAATCCACCAGCCGTCCTTTCCTGACTCCAAGTGCGATTTGCGCCCTGTGTGTCAAAGTCGCCACAGTTTCGTCCATACCGGCTTGCACGGTGGCTGTTTTGCCACTGAGCAGTGACACCTCCACGGCAACGGACATGCTCATCGTGGGAAAGAGAAAACACGGATGAAAACAAGGATCAATCTCTTCGCCCGCAAATGGCTGCGGTTAGGCCTCCAGGATAATAAATCTGGAAAAGATCGTGTTTGGTGACTCTGTATGCGAAGGCTCTGGAATTGTTTGTAAATGCCACTGCTCGGTTGTAGTCTCCGTGGAGGGTTTGGTCAGGGAGGATTATGGTATAGAGCCATTAACTCAAACTCCAAACCCTATAGCCCTAAACTCCACACCTTAAATCATTGAACACCTGGGCCCTTAGAACCCAGTTGGTATTGATCAGGGTCTACCCACACCTTGTATTGCTGTACCATTTCTGACTACCCCCTTAGCCTTAGCTTAGTTTAGAATTAGGGACGATTCTCTTTTGGATCCGCACCATGAAACCGACCGACGAAAACGAAGTCAAGCTCAGTACGGCGTTTAGGGTTTAGGGTTCAAGGTTTGTTTGAGGGTTCAGCGCTTAGGTACAGCAAAAAGGGTATGCGAAGGCTATTACCAATTGTTCCGCCCAGTTTAGTAAAAAAATAACTGTCAAACTCGGGGTCAATCCCAGTGCGACTAGATAGGCATTTACTAACCGAAACTACATACTTGGGTAGTTATCAAAATTTGGGTCCCTTTTTGGGTACCCTAATTATTAGGTGCCGTATTATATTAGGGACCCAAAAAGAGACCATAATTTTGACAACCACCCACTTCGAAGCTTGAACTGCAAGATTTGGGGTATGGGAGGCGAATAAGGAGGTCGGGGCTTAGGTTAGGACACGGAAGCCCAAACTTCAAACCCCCTGTTTCTGGTCCTCTGCATCCTTAGCGCTCTTTGTCGCAGTTGCTTCCTCCGGCTCCTCCACGCGAGCCCGAATATTGGGCCGAGCTACTTATCTGTGCTTTGCAAACTGTCGGGAGTTGAATATAGAAGCTTGAGCAATTAGTAGTACGATTCCTTAACCTTCCTTATTCCAAATATGATGTACCGAAATCCTGTTACCACAATTACCTAATATGATGTCCCAAAATCCTGTTACCAATTTTCCTAAATTCTGCACCGAAATCCTGTTCCAATTACTGTATCAAGGCTCTGGGCTCTTAGGAGCCTCGAATCTTCGATTGCTCGGAGTTTTCGGGTGGAGTCGACAGGGTAAGGGCTGAGGTTTATTGGGTTTAGGGTTTAGGAGTTTCTGGTTTAGGGGTTTAGGGTTTAGGGGTTTCTGGTTTAGGGGTTTGGGGTTTAGGGGTTTCTGGTTTAGGGGTTTGGGGTTTAGGAGTTTCTGGTTTGGGGTTGTTCTACAGGGGTTGAAAACTGCTTCTACTTTAGGGTTCTGAACCTGGAGGGCAGATGTACTGCAGACACCCGTGACCTGGAGCTGTCAAGACTGATAGCAAGATCTGTGTCCGAAAAGCTCTGCCATCGTCCAGCACGGTTCCAAAAAAGCCAGGCTCACCGAGATAAACGCTTAAGGATGCCCCGAAGGCTTGTAATTCAGGGGTCGGAATACTTAGCTATAGTAGCCCCTTCTGGCCCCTAATATAACTAGTAGACTGTTGCGATATTCTGTTGCTGCTACTTCCCAGCTCAATCGACGAATGGAGACTTTGTTAGCAGCAGGGATTGACAGAGATCTTTGGGCTGAGCAAGTCAGCAACTCAGCAACCTAAAAGCCTGAACCCTAAACCCTAAACCTTAAACCCTAAACCCTAAACCTTAAACCCTAAACCCTAAACCCTAATCGGTCTGCACCAACATTCCCTTCCTTTCTGGCTCGGAGCCGTGAAAAAAGGGTTCCGAACTAAGAAAAGTAGGTGCCCTGGAAAGACACACCCATCACCCGTCTCCTCGCCATCAGCCAGCTCTTCTTCTTCCTCCTCTTCTTGTAGTTCCTCCTCTTCTTCTTCTTCCTCCTCCTCTTCCTCCTCTTCTTCCTCTTCTTCCTCCTCTTCCTGGTCTTCCTCCTCTTCCACCTCTTCCACCTGTGCTGGACGTGAGCGAAGCACTTAACAGAAGATGGACCACATTGGCTTGGCCCAGCCGAGCAGAACCCTGCATGCCGTTTCCAGGAGCCTTTACAGATTTACGGCTGTCCTGTTACATCACAGCTTCCTCTGATGCCACAGACCTTACCTTTGGTTAGTAGGGAATGCAAGAATGGGGTACAATCATAAAAAAAACAGTTATTACCATTCTTCCATTCCCTACTAACCAAAGGTAAGAGAAGCAAAGCATGGACCCCACATGCAGTTGCCAGTGCAGCGGCTTTACTTAAGGCCACTGCATGAAGGCTCAAGGGAGCAAGCTAGCAAGCAGGTTGCAAGGGGAGTTCTAAGCAAGTCTTTGTTTAGGGGATCTCCTACACCCTAAACCCAAATGCCTGAACACCCGTACTTTGACTTTTAACTCGCTTACCAAATCCCTGAGGCCCCTTTGAAGTAACAAACTTATAGTTGTTGTAAACCACTGCACACACGCACTGATAATACCCGTCCAAGTGTTAACAGCTAGGCACGGAATACCATTCGGATTCTACCTTTTTCACTGCCAGAGCACTTGTGCCACAATGCCGTACACACAACATGATACTTCACACGTGCACAAATTACACCCCCCTCGCCGAAGCGTCAGTCTGAGGCGCAAACATGCACGGAAGCTTGGTGCTGTGTGGCCTGCCATAAAGGCGGCTGGATTGTGGCTCGGGGCTCATAGGCTTTCTACTACCGTAAAGCGGAAGATACGGAAGCAGATTAATTCTTTTAGCGCGCAGTTTAAAGTCGCGACATGCATTATAAAGTGGCGACGATCCAGCAAGCCTTGAATGATGGCGTGGATACAAGTCGCAAGAACGTGTGCAGCATGGGACGAATACATCATCCACTGGAGCTGCTGGCTGTTCGGATTTGTCACAAAGTGACTGCCAGGAAATGAAGCATGAAATTTTTCTGGTCTTAAGGAAATTCGGCCACCTCTAAGAGGGGCTGTATTTCGGAGTACCGGTTAACGTGACGGAACCACGAAATGTCGATCAGGTACTTAGTACCATCCTCGGGAACCGGAGGAGCGGCCATAGGGGTGGGATCCTCGCTGGTAGCCGCGATCCCATCCCTGCTCCTGGTAGCGCTGTTGCTCTGCTCTGCGGGCATCAGCTTTGGCTTGTGCGATGCGAGAGCGTTCAGCGTTGCGCTGTCGCTCTTCGTATGCACGGCGTGCAATTCCGACCTGTTCCGCGAATTTCCCACGGAGCCACTCAGTCCAGTCCTCAGCAGAATAGCCGAGTCTTGGATCAACATAGAGTGCCTCTTCTGAGAAAGTAACAATCATCTTCACGATTTTGTGCTGGAGGAAAACATCTACGAATTTTCGCAAACTGTATGCCCCTCCCAGCCACATGATGCAAAACGGATCGTCACTCACTGCGGAGATCAGGCCTGCCCTAAGGGCGGCTGGATTGCACTCGTGCAAGTAGAGCAACCTGGCAATCTCCTGGTTCCTTGGCCCTTCGGAGCTTCCACCATAGGTGCCGACAGCCAACTGTCGTTGCTCCTTTGAACGGCCATGGTTCGGCAAGGCAGCATGCGTAAGCACGTCTTCGATGGCCAGAAACTCTCGATCGTACCCGTTGCCGATGGAACTCATGGTGTAGTCCACATCATTATCGAAACGGTGTACGATACTTGTGTAGCCTCCTTTCGTGGCCATCTTGAGCTGCTGCCGGGCTTTGTCCAACGCCTCTGCGTCAAGCGACGTAGTTCCCCGCTGGGTTGAGGAGTCTCTGGTCATTTCATGAATGACCTCCTCCGGCGTCAGCTGGGAACGTGGCTTGCCCGCAGCGGCAGCGGCGGCCTCTTCAGCGAACCAACGAGCTGAACGCGCTTTCTTGCGTGCGTTCTGTTGGGAAGGCTTCACGATGTGCACGCCACAGCTCAAGCATATCATCTGTCCCACAAGGCGTTGAGTACCGCAGTGGGGACATGCCCTGTGACGGCCACCCGTAACGGGGGCTGGAGGGAGAGCCAAAGGAGTCGATTCCGGCTGAGGCGGTGCCTGCTCGAACATCGGCTCGATCTTGACTTCTTCCTCCTTTTTCACATCGCCTTCGTCTGGCTCCGATCTCGACTTCAACGGGATCTTCCGGCTCAAGGAAACGAACACGCTTTCTGGACTCAGTCGGTGCCTCCGGTGGAGAAGCGCCCCCCTGGTCCAATGTTGTGGTTTCCTCCGGAAGGAAGTCGGATGCTGTGGCGTCGTTGAGTGCAAGAGGTTCTGGTGATGATGCTGGTGGCGCAACCTCAACCTCCACTTCAACCATAGGCTCGTCTGCTGTTGCAGACGCTGCTGCTTCGACCTCTTCATGGCCACCACTAAGTGGGGCTGAAGGTTCCTCCGGAACATCGGGGAACTGCTCCGGCTCAGCTGCTCCAGGATCGACAATGGGATCCTGGGCAGTCTCCGGGATGATGGTGTCCTCCTCCTCGCTGGACTGACGCGACCACAGAATGATGCCTTTGATCGTGTCCCTGATATAGAGCACACAAGATCCTGGCACCGGGTCGCGAGTGAGTATACCTTCGGAAGTTGTCTCAAACAGGTACGCATAGCGGTTCACCTCCTGAGTGTCGAGGACAACTTCATAAGGAAGGTTTGCTCGGCTGCCAGCTTTATTCTCAAGCTCGCTCAGAGTGGCCTTCGCGAAGTAGTTGTGAAACTTCCCGCTCCGGTTGAACCCCGGCGTGAAGCCAGTAGAGAGAATATTGAAAGCTGAATCATGCGTGGTTCGATGATAGAGGCGTGGGGGAAACTCCCCAAGAGCAAGGAATGGCCTGCCTTGATAGGCGGCTGTAGGACCAAGCTCCTCACGCGTATCGTTCGTGAACCAATGCAGAGCAATCGAGGAATCGGTCACTTGATCTTTGATGCGTTCGCTGTGACCATGCGACGCACAAATCCACGACGGCCAAATGTCCGTCTCGATGAAGTCAGCACGTGGATCGGTGGGGAGGCCTGCCAAGTTAAACCTCGATTTGTTATCGTAGGCGACTATGGACAAGATACCTCGTGTTCCCAGATCCACACGGTGCTTCTTCCACATATGCTGGATGAGGTCTTGGATGCGTACCCATTTCCCGCGCCGTGAGTTGAGCTTCACGTTCGATCCTCGGACAGCACCTGTGAGGTAGCGCTCAACATAGGGTTTGAGGCCTAACTCAGGGAGGTGGTCCTTCGGGATCGAATCGGGGAGGATCTGAACGATCTCGCTCCCCTCCGGATCCTCTGGGCACACATCCTCGTCGACGAAGCCACACATCTCCATCAGGTCCAAGTCATCTTGGTACTTTACCCCAATGTAGTCGTGTGGGCGAGCCCTTAAAAGGCCGCTGGAAGGGTCCCGGTCCTTCTTGGTCATGCCCTCTTTTGCCGCTGACAGAGTACGGTGTGACTCAGTGCGGTAAGGGATGGCCTCGATGACATCGTCAAAGGACACCTCCGGTACGTCGCGAGATGATGCACTGCCAGATGGGCCACCACTAAGTGGGGCTGGATCCTTTCGCTCAGCACGGGCACGTGCTTCCGCCTGCTCTTTCGCGCGCTTTTGCGCCTGTTCACGAGCTGTGGCCCATTCCCAATTCAGGACATCCTGAGGTACCTCACGCATTCCAGTGACCGGAAGATCAGGTGGAGGAACATAAGGGGATTCCCATGGATCAGGGCATTCATTCGCAGCTTCGCGAATCTCGGCCTGCCTTAAAAGGCGGCGGGAGAGCTGGGACCGATACAGCGCCTTGTCGAAGACATACTGCATGGAATATACCCGCGTTCCTTCTGGGTCGAAAGGGAAACGGCGGGCCAGCTCATCCAGCGTCTCTGCGGGCATCTTTGCGAATAAGTGGTCAGCTTGACACACTTTAATCCGCTGTCCGATCACAGAGGCCAAGGCTGCGCGATGCGTAGAGTCTTCGCGGAAGTGGTAGTGGTCGTGCTTTGGGATCTGGCATACGCTTTCTTTGAGAGAGGCGGTATATAACCCCCTGCTCCTTGCGTATCCGAGGAATTTTCGGATAGCTGTTCTGTATTCCGCTGGCAGCCCGTAGTCCAGTGGGTCAGCATCCGAGAGGATTTGTATTGAACCCACTGTTGGCCTGCCCTGAAGGGCGGCTAGACGGCCAATTTCACCACACACACGTGCGGCAATGTCCGCCCAGATCCCTTCCGCGGCAACGCCTTCAGGACCAATCTGCCAGTGTGGCGTCCCTGGGTCGACGAAGACACCTCTGCGACCGCACAGTTCGTTGCCCATCCACACAACAACGATATCGACCTCGAGATGCAAGGGGTTTAACGATTCGTTGATGATCTGCGGCAAGAGCGTGTGAACTGCCTCAACGATCGAGTGGAGGTTGCCTCCCCAAATCGCCTTTTGCCGGACATTCGTGTATTGCTGAAGGATATGACCAGGCCCCGTCAGAGCTTTAAAGTCGTCCGCCATCTCAACGAATGTTCTCGCCCCAGCCTTGAAAATGAGGGTAGAGTCGGAAACAATGATGCAGGCTTTTTCGCGGCCACGGCTATCGCCGGGCTGGAAACGCGACAACCCCTCGTCGTTGATCCGTGCCACCTTAGGGAGGGCCTTATAGCCATGATCAACATCTCCCAGACACGTAGACAAAGCGGTTTGCGCGATTGCGCCTGTGTAGAGCTGTTTCACGCTCTCTTCCCAGTCACGGTCTGGGTTGAGTCCGAGCTCGTGTCCGAAGACACCGGCCCACATATGGTAGTGAGCCCACTCCCGCTTGATTGAGTCACCCGATGCGGCAATCGTCGCTGGCGCCGACGGCTTGTTCTCGCCTTCTGCTCGCACTCGGGGATCACTAATCATCTCTGGCGTGCTCTGATGAGCCGCTGCACAGGGGCAGGCAAGCACCTTCCTAAAGTTCGCAAGATTAGCAAGATGTGAAGATGTGAAATCCTCTAAATCATCATG